TCAGTCCCTCATGTAGTGCCACCTCACCATCCTTCCATAAATACTAGGAAATAACACAATATTGGACATTCTTCCCCACTTCTTATCCATTTGCTTAATAATCTGAGGGAATGGGGCTTGTAATTATTCAATTACATTAAAAAATTCTTGATTGTCTCTAAAACCTTAACTATAAATCCAAGAGATGTCACAATCTCTGTACTGTGAGCTATAAGCTAGTACACGGTCCATCTTGTCTGTCAGCTCTGTGTGTGGCTGGCAAAGAGTCTGACCTAATTTGTCTGATTTTTTTTTTAATTTTATTTTTTTTTTAATGAACACACATCAAGGCTTTTAGAGCCATGTCTCCAGCCAAGAAAGGTCAAGGTTTTCTCCTTGAAAATAAATCGAGTGTAAGGAGTGTGGATGTCAAACTGCATCTTTCCTGGGTTCATGGTTTTCTAGTAAACATCATAGACTGCAGGTAAAAAAAGCCCAGAAAGGTTGAGTTCTGGACCATATTTTCATGCCTAGATGCTTGAAATTCTGTGACTAAATTAATACCTGGGCTAATGCTAAAGAATATTAATTAGAAAATAATTTATTATCAAGTGTGCAGAACACCTACAGTCCTGCTAATTCTTGTGCATAGTTTTTAAGCATTGTTTCTCTGTCTGTTCCCTGTGGTTTTTGGGTTTCACATCAGACACTATACGTGTGTGAGTTCACACTTTATTATTTTTATTGCTTATGTGCAGGAAAAGGAGAGAGGAGGGTTTTCCTATATGGAGATCTTTTATTGTTTTATGGTCCTGTGTGTGTTAGCTGCTAAAAGATGGCTCTGCAGATGATGTCACAGACAGAAAGCTTGTGTGAAGGTAGAAGAAAGTATTTCAGTCCCAGCCTTTCAGGAAGAGGAGATCACAACCCCAGGACTTGGTCTTACAGAGATCAGGGTGCCCAGTTCCATTGGCTGCAGCCTCATGATATGTACTGATTGAAGAAAGCAAAGATTTCCTGTTCTAATGCTGGTGGCTTTTTGTTGAAAGCTTTCCTGAACAGGTCAGAATTGTGCTATGAACTGTGGGACCCAAGCAGGTGACTTGATAGAGAGCTAAAGGAAAGCTCCAGGTCATTAATGGAAGAGTTTAACTCCTCAGGGCTGGAGATAAATGCCTCTGTTTGCTGGAAAACGTGTCCTAGGAAATGCTATAGAGAGGTGCCATGTTCCATTTCTGGGCCTTGGGATTTATAATCTGTGTTTTCAGCTAGGCAGCAGTTTTTGTTAAGGCCAGTTACCAATGTGAAATGGAGATGTGCTTTTCTGAGAGTCACAGAATGGCTGAGGTTGGAAGAGACCCTAGAGATTATCTAATCCAACCTTCAGCCATGCACAGGGACACCTCTCAACCAGAACAGATTGCTCAAGGCCTCATCCAGCCTGGCCTTGAACACCTCCAGGGAGGGGCATCCACAGCCTCTCTGGGCAATCTGTTCCAGAGCCTCACCACCCTTGTGCTGAAGAACTTCTTCCTCAGATCTACTCTAAACCTCCTCTCATTCAGTTTAAAACCATCTCCCCTTGTCCTGTTGCTGCCCACTCTTGTGCCAAGTCCCTCTCCAGCCTTCCTGGAGGTTCCCTTCAGGTGTTGGAGGCAGTTCTAAGGCCCTCCCAGACTCTTCTCTTCTCCAGGCTGAACAACCCCAGTGCCCTCAGCCCATCTTCAGAGCAGAGATGCTCCAGCCCCTGGATCACCTTTGTGGCCTCCTCTGGACTCTTTCCAACACATCTCTGTCCCTTTGCTGGCGGGGACACCAGAACTGGACTCAGTATTCATGGTGGGGTCTCACAAGTACAGACTAAAGGAGGAGAGTCACTTCTCTTGATCTGGTGGCCACACCCCTCTGAATCCATGGGAGGTGTCACTGAGATGGGAAGGAGAAGGACAGTGCTGAACCTGCAGCTGCCTCAGGGGGTGCTTCGTGCCTGGCAGCAGCACCCTCAGTGCTCACTGCAGCTGTCCCAGCCTCCCAGCAGTGCTGCTTGGAATGCCCTCCGTGCACAGCTAGCAGAGAAAGCAGAGCAGAGGTCAGTGGAGGCCAGAGGGAGCCCAGTTTCCCCAGAGGTTCACTGCACAGTGCTGCTGTCTCTGTTTGGATTTACATGACCTGTTACTGCTGCAACCAATGCTCATGGCAGTTAGGCCAGACTGACATAACTCAATATGGATTTTTACACTGAGCTTAGGGTGCCTAACACCATCCCAGAGAATCAGCAGCTGTCATCTCCTCTGCTGCTCCCAGTGTCTGACACAAACACATCCAGTTGTGGACAGAGGTGCTGAGGTTTGCAAGCAGCTGGAGATGCTGAACGTGGTGGTGGTGTGGTGGTGGTCCTCCAGTCTTACTCAGCCCATGGTTCCTGGACTACTTCATCACAGTTGATGGTGACAAGGAGAACAAGATGCTCTGCCTGGCCAAAAAGAAGCATGCTGCCTGCACCTGGAAGCAAAATAACCTCACAGTACAATCTCAGCTTTAATGCAATCTAAATTTTAATTACCTGGATGAGCTGTGGAGCTGAGCTGTGCTCCCTAGGCCCCAGCTGTGTGCTTCTCTGCTCCTGTTCTACCTCTGGCTGGTAAAGAAGGGTCACACACATTTACTTTCCACTGAGTGCTGTGGGTAGGGGAGTGATAACTCTCCTCTGTTGTCTTCTGTCTATCAGAAGAGGAGGAGAGGCTTCCAGAGACAGTCCAGGCAAAGCTTCTTAAGGATACTAGTTGTTGTTTACAGTCTGAGCTGTTTTGCATTTCTCCTCTATCTATTTTTTTGGAGGAGAGCAGACATAGGAATGTCAGCATGAGTGTTTAGCTACTAGGATGGAGTTTTCATTTAACATATATATTTCTTCAGGGTGCCTTTATACAAGGCTTGGCATAAACTGTTAGCTGAGGGGTGTCTCTTAGTTTTCTGTATCATTTCTTGGAAGCTTCACTTCAAAGGAAACCTCCCTCTAGTTGCATTTAGCATTTTTTTGCATCTGTAATTGCAGCCACTTTTTGTACTTCCAGGGAATGTCAGGATCAGTCTGTAGTAGGTGATGATGATCTGTACAAAAGATTGGGTAAGATATCTGGTCTGTAGTAATTATGTCTGCAGTTAGCATGCAGGGTTTGATTGGGTTTTGGCCAATGGAAGTGAATTAAAAAAATATTCTTGATGATATCAGAATGACTCAAGTACCATAGTTGCTAATGATCTTAAAACTTGAATGAGTGAAGCAAGACACAGGACCAGCAACGTGTGGCAAGGCATTAATCACAGAAGCCACAAATGGGGAGTGAAGCAAGATGAAAAATCAGGTAGCCCCAAATCCCAGGGATCCAGTCCAGGGAGATCTTGCACATCTTGTCTCAGTGGTTTTTAATACACCTCTTGATTCCCTGCTCTGAGTTCCCTGCCTAACTTCTGCCTGAGAGTTCTCTGCAGGAGCTGCTTCTTGGTGGGGTTCCTCCTTCTGCTCACCACCATTCCAAAAATGTGATTACTGCCTACTCTTTGTCTTGATGGTCAGGTACATGAGGATGAGGTGGTGCCCTGATGCAGTGGAGGGAAGTGACCCACAGTTGGTTCAGGCAGGGGACCAAAGAAGCCCGGAGTGACCTGTGGCTTGTGTAGCTGTGTGTGGTTTGACTTCCAAAACCAGAAAAGCCCCTGGTCATGAGGAGCAGGTGTGTAAGGGGTTTATGGAAGTGGTGGATAAAAAAGAGTGTGTTCCAGGCTAAGGATTCTGAAGAGAGGAAGGTGAATACTTTCTGTCTTCCACAGGAGGTTGTATCAGAAAGAACTGGGGGAGTGGGACATTTCAAATTAATGGTACTAAGGGAAAGTCAGAGGCTGGAAAATGTTTTTAATTAAAAATGTTTCTTTCACATTTTTTTTTTTCTTGTTTAAATGTCTCCTTTGTAATTCCTGGATTATTCTAATCTTCCACACTTAGGATCAAGCTTTCATTCTTCATTTAGTAGCCTAACAGGCTTAGCACAAATGTGCAAAGCACTCAGATGTAGTTGCATATACATGAGGAGGATGAGACTCTCCTGTTCAGCACAGGGCAGGATGCTGAAGGAGAGCACTGAGAGAAGGAGCTTGGCAAGTCTTGCTGTCTGAGTGATGTCTCTGCCCACTGGATTCTCAGGTTTTGCTCTCTCTCTCTTCCAGATGATGTTCCCATACGAACCTGGTTCCCAAAGGAGAACCTCTTCAGTTTTCAAACTGCTACTACAACTATGCAAGCGTAAGTGAACCTCCACCATAGCTGCTCTTGTGTATCCTGAAGTTCACAGCCCACTCAAAGCTGTATCTGAGCCTGGAGCAATGGAGCTGTGTGCTTGACACCACAGTCCGGGGCTGAGAGGGAGACAGAGAACCTTGTCTCATTAATTTCCTTTCTCCAATTATTAGTTCTCTTTCCTACTCCTCCCACTTGTTTGGTTTCACCTTCTTTAACTCCTTGGGCTTCCCAGCTCTTCCCTGCTTGCCCTGTTTTCTCAGTCACACTGTGCCCTGCCCCTGGCTGCCTGGGCAGAGCGAGGGTCCTGTGGGAGCAGCAGCAGATGAGACCCACCACCACTTGCTTCTGCTGCAGCCACTGCCCCGAGGGAACATGACTCCAGGCTTGCCCTGCATCCATCACCCCAGAGAAGTGGGTCTCTGCAGGGTGAGGTGTAGCCCTGCAGCTCCTGTGCTGGTCTGGTCATTTGAAGAAGGTGTCAGTAAAATCTCTGCAAAGTGAATGGGTCTGAGCTGGGAACAGCCTTTCCCTCCAACTCCATGCAGGTTTTGGTGCCTCTGGTGGCTGTGTGTTGGGAAGGGGCAGTTCTTGAAGGACTAAAGACAACATGAGAAGTCTCATTTCCAGGTTGTACCCAGCTTGTCAGGCAATGCCATCTTCCTGGTTTCAAGTATTTCCTATCTGGCTGGAAATCCAAGGCAAGCAGTGAGGGAAATGAAAGACTTCTGCCTTCTGAGGCCTTTCTCCAGCCTGGTCACCTTTTCCCTGTGTCCTTCTTCCAATATCTGTCACCCTCAGCTCTACTGCTCTCTTTACTTCTCCTTGTCTAATCTGGTGCCCTTTTTGTAACCTGTTTCTCTGCCATTTCTTCTTTCCCTCATACCTTTCCCTTCCCAAATCCTGAAAAGAGGCTGATAGTTGATCTTGGGGTAACCCAAACTGGATCCAGCCTCCAAAGACTGATGCAGGGAGGGCTGGATCCAGCACTGGGAGGGGGGTAGCTGCTGAGAGACTGGAAAGGATCTGCATCCCCCAGAAAAAGTGCTTCTCTTCATGCCCTTCCCCTCCAGCTGAGCTGGAGATGTGACCCGTGCTCCCAGCATGGGGGAGGCACTTCCCTGTGCCAGTCAGTGGAATCTGGTGCGTGGTGGTGGGGTGCTCTTGGTGGGGTGCTCATCCCACCCTGACAGTGGGAGTGAGGAGTCTCTGTGGGCTTCTGCTCTCTCTGGATTGTTCTAGAGCTGCTTCTCTTGCCTGGCCCCTGTGTCCCCCTGCCTCTTTTTCAGGGACTGTAAATCTGGTGGTGTCCCAGCTGGGTGACACTCCTGGGCACCAGGCTGGCAGGGCCTGTGGGCCATCTGAGGGCACTTTGGCAGACACCTGCTTGGCTCTTTAAATAGCTGGCTGGTAACTGGTGTTTCACAGTTCTGATCTGACACCTCAGATCATGCTCAAAATCAGCACATTGCCTTTGGGCACATCCTTTGCTGTCTGAAGTTGCCTTTGGCAGGCACAAGGGTTGCTGCAGGATGATGACCTGGTGTGGGGAATGGTGCCCTAAGGACACCCCTGAGGAGCACAGCTCCAGTGGTTAACATAACTCCTCAGGCAGCATTTCTGGAGCCTGTCTGCTGCCTCTAGACACTGCACAGAAACATCTCCAGAAGTCCAGGGCACCTCCCTGACCTGGTTGGGGTGGCTCCCCCAGGTGCCACTGTCCTCCTGGCCTCTGCTCTAGGGGTTTCAGCTGACCATGCCTGCTTCCTTCATTGACCAGGCAGCATGAGTCCTGGTTGCTGTGGAAGAAGGTGTCCCTGCTCTAGCAGCCCATGATGCTGAGCTCTTGTAGCCTGATGGGCCACGTTCAGCTGTCAGTTGTACATCTGCATGTTCTCTGGGTCTGCCTGGAGCTTATTTTGCATCCAAGCCACATGCCAACACTGCCCCAGGGAGGATTTAGCTCGGTCAAGTAGGAGTCTCATCACTGAGAAATGTTTGATTTAAAAGCAATTTCCTTCCCCCTAACAAGAAATATTCCGGCT